GTTTGCTTGGTTTGTATCAGTAGGATCAGTGTACGAATTATAAGCAGCAGCAATTAATAATAAGTAATGTTAATTATGATTATTAATGGCCCCTAATGATATTTACATTAATTGTTACATAACTTAAAATAGGATTTATTGCGTCAATATGCACCCTGAATGTTTGATAAATGGAATGTATGGCTCCAAATATGGCATGGGTGTGCTTTAATATGCACCCTGAATTTTTGCATTTCATTTAATTAATACAAAGGAACCCTTTTTATGATTGCATTAAACATATATGACATGGGCTTATAGCTTACCGAAAATGGTCTCAATCATTTAACAAAGGTCGAAATATAATTTCCCACCCTAAGTTTTAGGGATCAAAATTAGTATCCTTGGTTTTGAAAACTATCAGCATTTCATCTTCTACGAGTGCTCATCCATGGAAATTGCAATTTGACTAGTTTTGACCATTGAAATGTCACTTTTACTTTTGGTTATAATTATCAAAATAATAAATTTTAAAAATAATATAGGGAAATTATATAATTTTGCCCTATTTTAAGGTGAGAATTGCTAGCCATTTTGGAAAAATATCTTCCAAAATAGCAATTTATCATTTAACGCAATTTTGAAGGATGAAAATGCCCTCATTCACCATTCTTTAAACCCTTATTCAAAGCTCCTTCTCCAACTCTTAAAACCAATCAAAGTCATTCTCTATAACAACAATCCCTACCAAATCGAAGGATATTTATGTAGATAGGTAATTGTATGAGCCAAAAATCATAATGGGTCTCACCAAGTCCAAACACAAAACATATACTGCATGGTCCAAGACCATGGCCCAATTCCGGTTAAGCCTATGCTAAGATCTACACTACAAGTCAATCCATTGCAGCCCACTTGGGCTTAGGCCCATCCGCCCATGGTCACTTCAAAAAGCCTAGAGTTCCATTCACATCCTAATTCATCTACAGATTCCACCTTCATCCTAATTTGTCCAAGGGTTTCATCTACATCCTAATTTATCTAAGATCCTGAATCTTATATGAATTAGGACTCTTACTTCTGCAAAGGGAAGTAAATCAAGACTTTCATATTTACTCAAACTCTACCATTATGAATTCAGAGTTCTACTAGGATTCAAGCTCCTAAGCTCATTATATAAATAGAGGTCTGACCTCTAATTAAAGATTCAATATGAATACCACCTACTTGCTCCTAAATTTCTTGCTTCCAAGAACCACTGTCACCTTTGTCGTAGTTCTAGTCTCTGACAAGACTTCGGTAACCTTTCCTCCCCTTAGCTCTCACTAAATTATATTTTACAACATCGCTGACTTGAGCGTCGGAGTGCCTACGATAGACACCATATCGGTGTTTCCCATAAGCTTCGTGCTTACTTCTTTGTGCGTGCAAGTCCAACATATTGTCAATGGCTTCAACCTCACATGATCCATCCATTCTGCAACCGTAGATTTTTATCGTCTACACACGTTAAACAATTGATAAGTTTAACCTGTCTATGACACATTTAAAGTATTATTTGACATAAATAAAACTTATTTAATTTGTTTAAATTTTTACTAAATTGTAATAACCATTACCATACACATGAACACAAAAACTTATGAATACAAAGTTTCTCCTACAAAACGACATGGTAGTACTCTTGTATTGCTAAGTCATTCACTATCATTTAATGTGCATTTATTAGTTTGACTTTTAATATTAATTCATCTAATTATAACCTGACACGTCACTTTGTCCGGAAGGTTTTGTATAAACTCTTTGTAAGAATAGTATTATTAAAAAAAATTATAATAAACATAATAGATAATAATAAACTTAAATTTAAAGTCAAAATACAAAATAAATAAACAAAATACAACTTTTCAAAGTTGTTTTACATTCTGTTAACAATAATGCTTATCCATCTTAAAAACATATCCAACTTTTAGAGTCCGAAAAAGTCAACAAAAATTTTCATCCACAAATGAAAGAGAAATCCTTTAGCTTTGTCAACAAAAACATATAAATACCGATTCCACTAAACGTAATACCCAAGTCTATTACTAAAAGCCCAAAACCCTTGGTGTTTTTAACTCTTCCCATTCACACATTTTTATCTCTCATATTGATATTAATAATCTTATCATATCTTTTGTTGTGTTCCCTTTTAAACATACTTTCTTGTAGTGGAAAAAATTACAAAAAACTCCAAAATAAAATAAGTTAAAAGATACCAAAACATCAATTGTTGATAGATAGAATGTGTTATGTGATTGCTATATTATCTTGAAATTTTAGAACTAGGAGTATCTTAGAACTTTAGAATAAATTAGGATACATAGAGAAAAATTAGGATGCAATAGAAATTGGGTAGGGATATGATTTTATCCAGTATAATGTCTTAATTATAAATACATGTATTTGAAATAATAAAGCAGTCAGTTTATATTTGTTAAAAAGTAACGATTGTTACGAGGCTTCGGGTTAATCTAAGAGGTCTTGGGTTCCCTCTAAGCAATTTTTATTTGGTTAATTGAGCTCTTTTTCATTTCATTCAAAATTGGCAGAAGAAATAAAAACTTAGCCGCCACCATTAAATCGACCATCACTGGATTAGTTTCATGGACATATAGCAAATTGGTATTAGAGTGAGACACGACAGATTGAAGATTAGACCGGTTAGAGGCTATAAGTTAGCTCTTTAATAGCTAATCACGAAGCAATGTTGAAGTAGATTCAAGAGATCTTCAGAATGATGAATGCACATTTTGATGAACTCTGTAACACTAGACATGGGGCTAAAGAATCTGAGGAGACCACTCCAGAAAACTCTTATGAGAATGGCGAAGTTAGATTTCTCTTGCTTCAACAGATCAGAAGACCACATAAGTTGAAAAAGTCGCATTAACCACTTTTTTGAGTTCCACCACTCTTTAGAAGAGGAAAAGATACCGTTGGCATAATTTTCAATTCATGGAGGAGTAAACTTCTATCATTACGTAAGAGGCTTTTAAGGATATTCTTCATAACAAATTTAGTCCAACTCAAGTTCAAGATTTCTATGGAGATTTAACATAGTTAAAGCAAACAGGTTCGGTAACATACTGTCAAACCCAATTCGAAAGACTACTAATAAGGGTACGGAAATTGACTTCAATTCAACAAATTGGGTGTTTTGTAAGCACTCTGGACGATTGTATTAGAACTAAAGAGCACGCTTGCAAGCTAACAACACTTTCTTGCTATAATTGGGTTGGCAAGATTGTATGAAGCAAGGGTTCAATCCTTGGAGAAGAAGTTTAGTTCCAATTCCAATCTCATACCAATTAAAAAATTAAGCCCAAATGAATTAAAAGAAAGGAGGGGAAGAGGATTATGCTTCAATTTTAACGAAAGATTTGTTCATGGTCATATGTGTAAGAAGAAATTTTTTATTGAAGGACGCTAGTCAGTTGAAGATACAATGTTTCTTAATGAAAAAGGGTAACCCTTAAGGACAAGGGTGCTTTTAGGAGCAAGGAATGTTACATGTATAGACGGTTAAATCTACGATCAAGTAATCCTGTGAAGATGAGGCGACTGACAATCTTGTAAACCTGCAAGGACAAAAAAGAGTGAACACGAAGGACTTGAGAAACATCAGTACAGTGTTAGCTATAGGCACTCCAATGCTCAAGTCGACACGTTTGATGGGAATTTAATAAGGCTAAGAGCAAGAAAGGATTTACCTTGAGTGTTTGGCTAGGGTCCGCCTTATTAGCATAGAGTGGTCGAAACACAGCTCTACGACGATTATGGAAGTAGAGTAATTGGAACTAGACTCAACAGCGGGGAAAGTCGATGGTTCTTGGAAGCAAGAACTTAGTAAATTAGATAGAAGGGGTGTGATTGAATGAATAATGAGAGAATGACCTCTATTTATATAGTAAGCCAAAGAAGCTTGAGTCATTGTATAACTAGATGTCTTTGTAATAGGAGTTTTGAGTAAACAGGAAACTTGTAGTGTTAATCCATATAGGAGCATGAGTACTAGTTCATGTAAGATTATGAATCTTGGATGAACTAGGAAGTTTATGAGACTTAAAGTCTATTCTGGAATGAAAACAAGCTGATGAGCTACAGCCTCGTTTAGCTTAACCTGTAAAAAAACCCAACTCGTGGAGTGGCCCAAAATGTAGATTAGCTCAATTTTTAGGGTGACCTTAATCATAGAGTGGTCTTACTCATAGAGTAGCCCAATTCTTGGAATGGTCTGACTTGTGGCGTTGACCAGCTCGTAGAATGGGCCGACCACTAGAGCAACCCTTCTTACAAAATGAGTCTTCTCGCTAGGTGGTATTTTTATAAGATGAATATAAGCGTGGACTCAACCAAAATTGAACTATGGCACTGGCCGTATGAAGTAACAAGGTCTAGTATCATTTTTTGCCCATACAACATGATTGCTAAATTATCTTAGAACCTTAAAATTAGGTTTTCTTAGAACTACAAGGATAGGAAAGTGTTTCTATTTTATATGAGGAAACAAAACCACCAAGAAGAATGAGAATTGAGAGTTTCCAGAGAAGATAACTTTATCGATTATTCTTTGTCAAACCCTAATTGTTTTAGGCTTTATATAGCCTTACACGTCATTCTAATCCTAGAAGGACTTTAATTGTCTAATTCAAAAGATATTCTAATTATTCTAATTAGATAATAGCATAACTGTCCTAATTCTATATATCCTAATTCTAAAAGAATCCTAACAAAAATAGTGTATATACATGATAACGCAACAATATTTAGATCTTAATGTTATTATGGGAAATTGAGAATTGCTCCATTGAACCATTGGCCCCATTCTTTCATCCTGCATTAGAAGTTTCTCCAACAATGAATTCACTCAAACTAAAACTTTCTTCAGATTCATGAATGTTGAAGCTAATGAACAACTTAATTTTCTTGTTACAGCATTAACATGTTAAATAAATTCTGACTCATAATTGCAAATATTATCATAAACCACAATAATTAAAACTGTTAATCAAATAATTATCACCAGATATTTTTATACAAACACTGAAGAAAAAAAAAATGAAATTTACATACCTATCCTGCAAATCTCATCGAGGGGTATTAATCACTTCAATTCAAGCATCAAGGAGAAGAAGCACAGTTTCTTTCATGCTTAGCCAATGCTTTCTCAAAGTTACCCATCTGTTTTCTTTCCACCAATTGATCCACATCATAGAAAATTGGAATCACTTTCTGGCCCAATGTGTTCATACATTCAATAATCTTAAAAAGTTCATCCGAGCACCAAGGAGAAGAAGCATAGTTTCTTAAGAAAACAACAATTGGAATTCTCGATTTTTCAATTGCATCAAAGAGTTCTGATGAAATGAGTTTTCCTATCTCAAGTTCTTTGTCATCCCAAAATACATTAATTCCTTTACAAGTCACAGCAGAATAGAGACGGCCAATGAAATTCTGCTTTGACTCGTAAAGGAGTCAAAGCACTCGAGATAGGAAAACCCATTTCACCAGAACTCCTTGATGCAATTGAAAAATCAAGAATTTCAATTGTTGTTTTCTCAAGAAACTATGCTTCTTCTCCTTGGTGCTTGGATGAACTTGTTAAGATTATTGAATGTAAGAACAGATTGGGACAAAATGTGGTTCCAATTTTCTATGATGCAGATCAATTGGTGGGTTTAGGGTTTTGGTTAACAATTCCAAATTGATGAGTCAAAGCAAAATAGAGATGACCCCTGAAATTCTTTCTGGTGTCTTCACTCAAAAACTTAGGAACACATCATATTTCCAACCAGAGGAAGAAGAAGATCCATATGAAGAGACTCTGCGGATGCTCATGATGAAAACAACTATCAATTGACTTAAATCAACTAGCTTTGTTTATGCAAGTTACAAGTCTGTCTATGTAACCAGATTCCTCCTATGCAGGACACTGAAAATTTGGAAAAACAAAAAAATTATATAATTTCCAGAAAAAAAAATATAAATTTGACAAAAAAAATACATCCAAGAGAATGATCAAACTCTGATCTTGTGTAGATCTGTTAAATTAAACTTAGAACAGAATATATTCAAAATCCTACTGAGTTGTAAGATTAGTTTCAGTAATTTTCCCTCAAAGAATCAGCTAGATTTGCCAGATCCTTAAAACCAAGAATAATCAAAAAAAAAAAAAAAAAAAAAAAAAAAGCATGGGCAGATTTTAAAGAAACCAAGAAAACTTACAGCTTTCGCCACCGAAGAACTTTAATCCAATCAGTCGAAGAACGTTTTCCGTGTGAAACTAAAACGAAATCAAAGAAAAAAGCAAAAAGATTAGGTCTTGTCTACGTTGGGAAGGCGAGAAATATTTTTGTGCTGTGAAGTAAAAAAATTGCATGGAAACCCCTAGGTTTTGATGATGACATCACGCCCATATATTTTTCAAACTATTGAGACGTCCATATCTTAATATTTAAATTCTCATAAGGCTTTTTCCAATAACTTTTTTTCTAATTTTATGTATTTATAAAATTAATTAAAACAATAAAGTTTTTTTTTTTATATTTTTACTCAAAACTTGAGCATGATTCAGAACTTCATAAGGTAATTTTCATAAAATCCTGCCTAATCATCAAAGCCCTTGCATGGTTTGTCAAATAGACAGAAAGGAAAAAAAAATCCAAGCAATAATTGCTTATTTATTAAACAGTAAAATGAGTATTAAAATTATACACTTTTTGCATAGTCGTTACAAATGAGCGATTATGTGTAACCAATGATTTATCTTGCTTGGAGATTAAAATATTAAATTCAACAAATATAGAAATATGCTTTTGCGCATAATTTATTTGTTTGAAAAGTAATTTATAATTCAAAACCCAAAAGAATTACACTAGGGTCAGGATAAAATACTAGATTGAAAATTAAAAAACTAAGCAATATGAGCCATAGACATTAACTTCCAAATAAAATTTAATATTTTAACTTTCACCTCATGAAATAGCTTCACGCTGCTTAAAGAGCAGTCACAGGCATAAATAGGATACTTCTCCAACTAAGTGTACCCCTATCAAGTATATAAAAATTATAAATTAATCCAAGCACCAGTTAGGCAAATTTAGGCTGAAAAAAGGAAGCAATTAAGTGCACCCAGAGGAATTAAATGCTACAAATATGGGGGGAGACAGGAAAGAACCCAAAAACAAAGACATGTTACTCACTTGGGGACAATTTCCACATTCGGGTCCAGCCCATGATTTTCTAACATTGAAACAAAGAGAGAAAACATGAGATTTAAAAGGAAACCCAAACACATCCATTAATTGAACTTTAAAATAAATGAAAAGAAAGAAAGAGAGCAGTCAAATGGATACTTTTGGCTGGATTAGTTAATTGGTTTAGGAACAGCAACTTTCCCCAAAACAGTCATGCCACCTCCTCTGGCAGAAGCCATCTGCAAAATATTTACGTTAGATAAAATAAAAAAAAAATAAAAAAAAAAATGCTTATAACATAATATGCATTACAACCATATACATCCAACAATGCTCACAAGCCTATACTGATTGTAAACTAATTAACGTCAAATGCATCAAAGCAACTTGCACAAGGGGAAAATAACAAAAACAGGCCTAATAACATCATATTTCAAATAAAAATTGAATACCCAATCCCTTAACCACCTTATGCAAATTACCTACAACTTCTCAACGAAAAGAAGCTTTTTTAGAACTAAAAATAGCTCAAGTATATCCCATATATTCCTATACTTCTCGACTGGAAAAAGTTTTAAATGAGACACAAGCTAACTGAAGACTCATAACATACAGGGGATGTTTTGCTTCACAATCATAAAATAAATCCAGTGACCATGCATTTTCTTCATTAAAAGAATCATTGAAAACAAAGCAGTTGCTTTTTTTTTTTTTTTTTTTTTTAAAAGGAAACTCAAGGGTCAGTATTCTCAATAGTGAGATGCCAAACAGGGTCATTCAAAGACTGCAGCTGAGTGACCAGCTACCAAACATAAGCAAGTCAAGAAAGAGCTACAGTGAACAGCAATGATGTAAGAGCATTCAACTTTGACACTATGAACTTGACCACCAAATCAACCAAGTTATGGCTTGAGTATTGTTTCTTTCTTTTGATTGCAAAATAACAAGGTACCTTCATTTTCCAGTCAACATACTTGAAACCATGGTTCAACTGTCGTTGCAATGTCATTCAAATAATTTTGAAGCAATCTGTATAAAAAGAAAACAATTAAATCAATCTGTATAAAAAGAAAACAATTAAATCAATCAGTATAAAGTCTTAAAAATATTGCAGTTATGATTTTTTCTTTATTTTTAAGCGGCTGTGGGAAAGACATAAATAAGATTACCAATAAACATTTATTTTATAAGAAACAAGCAAAGCTATATGAATAGCGATATTCCCCATTCCAACACAAGCACAACTACCACATATTATAAGAATGTATCATTCAAAAGTCCATCCAAATAGCCAGATACACCTTGTACATACTTACACATAATGTAACAAATCAGCACCAGACTCTTTGACATCACATCCAAAACAATTAAAACTCACAAAACTCAATCCAAAGATGTGAACTAAATAGCATAACCAAGGTATTTCAACAAGAAGGTTTGACAAGTCCCCTTAAAATCATCTACCAAGTATATAATATCAAACGAGTTTCTTATGCGAACAGATTATGAAGCCACGTAGCCCCCATATCAATTGTGGTAAATATAATAAGGGGGAAGAAATTCTGCAAGATGATTTATTATGCATTTGAATAATTGGGCATTGAAAGAAAAATTATGAACAAACATATTTCACTTTATGTTTACCATGTGATTACATAAACATTTTTTGACTGATACAAGTTAAAGTTAAATTCATGACACCTTATGGTGTGCATAGAATCAATAAACTTATAACTCCTCAATAATATTGCTTCAGCAAAGGAAAATGATAATGAAAAACTAAAATAACAAAAACAAGAAAACAAGTTCAGTTTTGAAACTGATAAATGCATTTAAACCAATGTGTGATTATTTTATTACCAAATTAAGTATTATCATAACAGTAACTACCAAATTCTGTAGGTTTTTGATTTGGAGAAAGAATGTAAATGATAAATAATGTTCTGATTTGAATTAATTACATTTATTTAATTATAGAAATTAAAAATGAAGTGATTAATTTCTAAGTTATAACAATTTCAAACATAGACTAATGATGTTTATTATTTAATACAACTATTCCAAACATAAATTGTCATTCTAAATTCACCCATTTTAAACATTTTGGGGTAATAGTAGGAATAGCTTATCATTTCGGCTATCAATATCTTTAGGCCGGTAGTGCTTTATATGATTCGGGCATCCAACAATCTAGCTTATCATTTGGGCTTAAATCACATAAAAGTATATTATAAATCTAATAATTTTTATACATATCTAAAATAAATCACCGAGTTCTTTAACTTACATAAGCATGCTCACAAGTAACTGGTAACATCCATCTAAAATTTAAATATCGTGACAATAAATATACTAACTTATTTAAAATAAATCACAAAGTTCTTTAATTTACATAAGCATGCTCACAAGTAACTGGGAACATCCATCTAAAATTATACTATATAACATAAGCCTTATCCACGCAAGTAACGGAGAACATACAAAAGCTTTACAATATTATTTTTGGGCACTAGAATGAAACCCGTTCTTACCACAAGCTTTTAATAATATGGTTGTGTTTTGTCATTACGTACAATTATCTCAACTATAGAAAGAAAAAAAAGGGGAAGAAAGAGCAAATACACTAATAAATACTAGAAAAAAAAAAAAAAAAAAGCTTTCTACATATGCATCGTGGAAAAAATGATTTTTATCAGCTTTGCAAAGGAAGCAACTTCATAGAAGTCAAAATATGAAGAAATAATATGCCTAGATACTTTATTCTATGGTAAAGGATCTAATTGATAGAGGAAGCACCGTAAAGACCAATGCGCAAGATTTTGGGCCGATGCCGATCCAATCTATGATGCTAGCAATGGCTTCCTGAAAGTACAAACCTGTTAACAAACAAATTACATCTAAACCCAGCTCAAGGCCCATAACTCAAGTGTTAGGCATTGTCAAGGTGTAGACCTAATGCTCTAGATCCCAATCATAGCCAACTTCAGTTCTCTATGGCAAGACTGGGATTTGAAACCAATTAATCTTGATATAGGCTATAAATTCAATAAAACAGTATAGCAAACATTAGTTAGATTATCTTAAATTTCAAGGTCATTTCAAATATTTGACATGTAAAAATACTCAGGTGAACACAGAAACCCTTTTTCTATGGTAATTGCTTTATGCTGCTCCCAATAGCCACCCGTATGCTCTCTCATCACCACCATTCAAGTAGACATAATCAAAAACCATGCTCTAAATTTCCTATTTTCTGTCTCTATCCAGTTTCCTCTTTTCAACTTGATAAACCCCCTTCCTGATAATTCCATATAACCCATCCAAAATCCTTCCACCAAAGCCCAAAATCATAACACTTATCGGCCCCTTACACTTATCCATTTATCCACATGTTTCAACCATCCTAATTTGAACATCAAGTTACAAGTCATAATTCAAAAACCATTAATCCCAATAAGCACGTTAAGATTCTGTTTTATTATCAACATTTACACTTCAATATCTACGAAGCTACCAAACACCTTCTAAGCACACGATCACCAAACATTAAAAAAACAAAAAAAAAAAAAAAAAAAAAAAAAAAAAAAAAAAAAAAAAAAAAAAAGGCCCAGTAATCAAGAACTAATCATCCAAATACACTTAACACTCCATAAACAAAACCAAAAATAAATAAATAAATCGCCAACAATTAATTCCAATAAACGCAAAAATTATCTTAAAGCAACCAGAAACAATAAACACCAAATCTCACCATCAAAAGATAAAATAAAAATAGCAACTAGCCGTGACGTGCCGCAAACTGCTAGGGTTTGAAAAAAATAAAACTCTAAAGTCATATAATAAATTAATCGAACATAGATTTGTAACCTGATTAAGAATATCGGAATCGGATGCAGAGGAGACAAAAGTATTCAACCGTGGTCCAACGACTGAATCGGAGCAAATCCGGTCATGCGATCGCGTCCAAACGGCCAAACAGCCGACTCCAACCAAATCCAACCATGCGATCGCAGCTAGACGGTAGGATCATGGCTGAACAGCCGAATCCGACCGACATCACAAATTTTGGTTTCATTTGTAGCGGCTCTCGAAATCAAAAGACAAAAGCTAAAAAGGTTAGGTCTTGTTCCTGTCTTGCTAGGGTAGGCAGGGAAATTTGTCTGTGCTGTGAAGTAAAACAAACCCTAAACGGGTAATTTAATCTTATATTATTTAATTATCGTAATTTTTTTATACTAATAATAGTTATTAATATAATATATAATCTTATCTTCATTTTTTTTTAGATATTTTCAAATTATTTAATAATCTTAATTTTATTATAATTTTATCTATTATTAATAAAAATTTAAGATAATAATACCCTTATTTTAAAAATAATTTACAAAAATATTAACTAAATATTTTATCTTTATATAAAAAAATTTAGGACATAAATACCTATGAAATTTTAAAAAATTATCCAAGGGTGGTGGTCAGATTTGGCCACCATTGCCAACCGTTGCCACCATTGGCGGTGACGAAATGGTGCACGATCGGCCAGATTTGGTCAACCATGTGCAGTTGAGGCTGTTTTCGGCCATGGATCAAATCTATGGTCGGAAACAGCTAGACCTAGTCATGAAAGGCCAAATATTTGGTCATGAAACGATGGCCGTTTCACAGTCAGATCTCCACTGTCGTCGCTGCGTAAAGTGGTTTGAGGTTGGTGGAGGTGTTTTTGTTAAATTTTAAACTTTTTTTATTACTAGGGTATTTAGCTAAATTTGAAATGTTGGGGGTTAAAAGAATTATTCAAAAAATAATAATAAAAATAAAATTATTATTTAAAAAAGAGGACAATTTAGTAATTAATATAATATACTCACTAATTTATTCTTCTCAACCAAACATTAATATAACATACCCACCAAGTTATTCCAACCAATCATCCCTAAACATTCATAATAATCTTCAAGGTAATCTATCTTTCTATATATATATATATATCAATCCCTTCACATTCTCATAAATATCTCTAATCCTTCAAATTAATTCTACATACACAACACTACATAATACATACGTTGCATCAATAATACAACTTATCAATTCTTCCAAATTCATATAAATAACTCCAAACATTCACATTCATATCAAACAAATACAACGTATCAATTATCAATCCCTTTAGGCTTTTACTTTTAAATAATTATCTCTCTCTTTAATGTGAATGTGAAGTGTTTATATTTATGTGATTAAACAAACCCATAAATCATGAGTCAATAATATTGTTATTAATATGTGTCATTGATACAAATAATATCAAACACCAATTAAATTCAGTTACATGAAACCAAAAATCCTACACATTGACACATGTCTCACGTCATCACCAATCACATGCAACAAAATGTAAAAACACCGTATCATCACCAATCACATGTAATCATATGTCGGACAATCTTATAACATGTAACATGAAGCAATTCTAAAATTTAAAAAATCCTACATGGCATTCAAATAAGGCATGTCTTAGGATTATATAAGTATACAGATACATAGATATACATATATAGATTAGGATTGAATAGAGATTGGGTAAGAATAATTTAATTATTCGTTTTTTATCCTTCATAATGTATTTATTATAAATACATGAATTTAGAATAATGAAGCAATCAGCTCATATTAGTTAAAAAGTAACGGTTGTTACAAAGTCCTAGGATCCCTTAAAAATCTGGGAGGTCATTTGGTTAATTGAGAATTTTTTTTTATTTTATTTCATTTAAAATAGGCAGAAGTAGAAAGACTTCTCCTCCACCGTTAAAGCAACCCATTAGCTGATAAATAAGTACGCATATATGATTATTTCTACTAAATTAGACGAGTGGAATACCAAGCGCTAACCTTAAGATAATTTCTTATATTTGAACACTACAAGGAGTCAAATAAATTAGCTTAAACATCAAGCGTCACTAAAATTAGTCAAATAAAATTAATAACTGAAAAACTATTACGTTACTACAAAATAAAAAATTAATTGACGGTCAGTTTAGGATACAGGATATACTCTAATAATTTGCCGGAAAGGGTAATACGTCAAATTCAAACCTAAATAATTTAAGGTAGGTTTGCATCATATTTTATGTTATGTTTCAATCAGATAATGCCAGTTTCCTGTATTGTGTCCGTCGCCTTGAAAAGATATTTGGAGAACAACAATTCATATATAGCATGTATGGTCTATCCAGAAAGACAGTTTTAAATGGATTTAATTATGTCTGGCCGGCCTCATGGAAGTGAACTAAATGAGAGAAAAAGAAGGTTTTAATTTCTTTAAATTGACCTTGTTTGGGTTCACAGGTGAAGCTGAACTTTTCAATTATATATATAATAAGGTTTGATTTGAGATATTTGTTGTTACTATTATTATTATTATTTTCCTATCATATAGTTACGTCAAAGTGAATGTATTTTTTCAAATTACTTTTCCATCTCAATCAGGTGGCTTATTTCAAGTCTAAGAATGTTGAATATGTTGAGAGCAATCGAAGAAGAAGCATTTTGGGGAAAAATATATTGTTATGTTATTTTGTATAATCCCTTTTACAAATCTTTTATATAATAACTGCTGCTAACTAACTCAACTAACTGCACTCAACTAACTATGGTTAATAATTAACACAGTTATACAACTTGCAACTTAACATACAACTTACTGCTTAATTGCTTAATATACAACTTACTGCTTAACAAACAAGCCCTGCCCGCGGCCCCCCCAGTTGGTGGGTGATAAAGGTCTAAAACCCCTAACTTGTGTAACAACTTGTAATGAAGGTTGCTGCCAAGTGCTTTAGTCAGTAAATCTGTTGGCTGTTCTACAGAAAGGATGTAGGCAGTTGTGATGAGTCCAAGCTTGAGTTGATCTCTAACAATACGACAATCAATATCAATGTGTTTTGTCCTCTCATGAAAAATGGGATTAGAGGCAATATGGTTTGCAGCTTGGTTGTCACAATGGAGAGGAATAGATAGCAGTTTTGATCTTGAAAAACCAAGTTCTGTGAATAGTTGTATTAGCCAAAGAAGTTCACATACAGTAGACGCCATTCCCCTATACTCTGCCTCTGAAGATGATTTGGAAATGGTGGCTTGCCTCTTAGATTTCTAGGAAATTAAAGACTTTCCAAGGAAAATACAATAGCCCATCACTTATTTTCTTATCATAAGACAAGATGCCCAGTCAGAATCACAAAAAGCTGACAAATTCATGGTGTTTTATGTTGGAAAAAAAAGTCCTAAACCTAGAGCTGACTTTATATATAGAACAACTTTGAGAGCTGCATTCATGTGGGACTGTTTGGGCTTATGCATGAATTGACTTAGCAAATTGACAGAAAAACTTAAATTTGGCCGTGTCATACATAAGTACAGTAGCTTCCCTATTAATCTTTGATAGATACTTGGATCAGAAATCAATGGATCATGTGCAGTAGGGAAGAGATCATCATAAACTGCAGATGTCAATTTTAAGGTTGAATCCATTGGAATGGCAGATGGTTTAGAACCTGACAAACCAGAATTTGAAATTAACTCAAATGCATAATTTTGTTGGCACAAGCTGATCCCTTTAGAAGATCTTGCAACCTCAAACCCCAAAAAATACCTAAGCAAACCCAAGTCCTTCAGCTTGAATTTAGAATGCTCCTTAGTCTACTGAATCATCTCATCATTATTTCCTGTTCTCACAATACGTCCACATACACTAGCAATATCACAATATCATAATCAACCTTCTTAATGAACAAGGAATAATCTGATTTGGATTAGCTAAAACCACCAGCAATCAAAGCTTGTGTAAGCTTGTAATTCCGGGCTCTAAAAGCCTGTTTTAATCCATGCAGGGATTTGTGAAGCTTACACACTAGATTCTGCCCCCCTACTTAACAAAACCCTATGGCAAAGTCATATAAATCTCTTCTTGTAAATTCCCTTGGAGAAAAGCATTATCAACATCCAATTGATAAAGAGTCCAACCATACATGGAATCTAAAGATAAAACGGTTCTGATAGTGACCATTTTTACAACAGGGGAAAAGGTTTCTACATAATCCACCACAGCCTATTGAGTATACCCCTTAGCTACCAATCGAGCCTTGTACCGTTCTAGAGAACCATCTGCCCGATATTTCAACTTATAAACCCATTTACAACTAATGGGAGTCTTACCATAGGGTAAAGGGACAAGGGACCAGGTCTGATTATTTTGTAAAGCCTCAATCTCTTTTTGCATGGTAGCAACCCAGTTTGGATCTTAAGAAGCTAAAGAAAATGAGCTAGGTTCTACTAAATTGAGTTGAGACAAATAGGCTTTGTAGGAAGGAGAAATGTGATCATAGGTGATAGAATTAGAAATAGGATAAAGAGTAGTATTGGCTGAGGAGGAAGATGAAAGAGATGGACAAATAAAATCTGAAGTCCAAATGGGAGGTCGTTTAGGTCTGCTGGACTGTCTGATAGGAGGTGCAACAGGCTGGGTAACAGGATGTGAGGTAGGCTGATTTTCATAAGGGGAAATAGGCTGATGTAGTAAGGGATTTGCATGGTCAATAATCGGCTGAGTAAAAATGGGAGAAAGAGAAGATTTTGTTGATTCTGTGGATTGGACAACATAGAATTCATCATCAAGGAAATTATGATCAAGAGGAAAAACATGCTGTGGAGGTTTAGACTAGGTAAAGGGAAATATATTTTCATAGAAAATAACATCTCTGGAAACTGAAACTTTGTGAGAGGAAAGGTTATACAATAAATAACCTTTTTGTGTCAAAGAATAACCCAACAAGACACATGGTATGGACCGAGGGACAACTTATCTTGTGAGAGAAGAACGGTAGCATAAACCAAAGATCCAAACACCCTAAGATGATCTAAGGAAGGAGGTTTACCAAAAAAAAAAATTCAAAAGGAGACAAACCTTTCAAAACAGAATAAGGGAACCTATTAATCAAATAGACAGCAGCCTGCACACAATAACCCCAAAGATGGCTGGGTATATTAGCTTGAAATTGCAGGGCCCTAGCTACTTCAAGTATGTGCCTATGTTTCCTCTCAACAATACCATTTTGTTGAGGAGTATAGGCACAAGAACTTTGATGCACAATACCTTTGCTAACAAACAAGTCTTGACAGTTTTTATTAAAAAATTCAAGCCCATTATCGGTTTCAATACATTTAAGGACAAAATGATATTGGGTTTGTACCATTTGAAGAAAATGTTTGATGTCAGACTTATATTGCATAAGAAAGATCCAAGTGACTTTAGAAAAGTCATCTACTATAGTGAGAAAGTATTTGGCATTACCATGGGTTGGGGCCTCTATGGACCACACCATCCATGTGTAAAAGATCAAAAATGCTACTAGGATGAGTACTACTATTGTGAGGAAAGGGACTCTAGTTTGCTTGCTAAAGGGCAAACAGGCAGGTGGGAGGTATAGACATGTATTTTCAGGTGTGTTGCAAAAGTTGCAGAGTGAGTAAGGAATATGACCTAGCCTTCGTGCATAATTCAACACTAGTAGGTGCAGTAGTAGACAAAAAGAACTAGGTAAATCAACATTGTATTTAATTCCAAATCAAAAGGTACAACAATTTTTATTTTTGATGACAAAACATTGAAGCTTACTAACAGCTTTATTCGGTTGCAATTTGCTTACATCTGTAAAAACTGAATTAAAACTTGAAGAAATTTTGGAAGGGATCAAGAAGGTATAGACCTTGGTTATGCTTTCCAATCCCCTCAACTTGCACTGTAACGATCCTAAATGAGACAAAAATCAGGATAAAAAGTGATAGCACAATTATTTGAAGCAGTGAACTTTGAAGCTGAAAATAAATTGTGTTTAAATTCGGACCGGTTAATACTTTGGAGAGATGAAACCCATTGTCCAAATCCACATAGCCTATATGTTTAATGTGTTTTTGGTGCCATTAGGTAATCCTACAAGGGTTTGTGAAGAGGGCTCTAAGGGAATCAGTGATTGTAAACTAGAATAATTAAGTCAATCTATGATGTGGCCGTATCGATGATCCAAAATCATTATTCGTGCAAAAGAAGTATTAAAAGGTCAGGAATTATACCTGCAGATTAGCGCTGGAGTAATATTCTCTTTCCCTAGTAGTTGAAGGATCTGATTATACTGGTCAGGTCAACACAGGACCAACAGGGGCATTACCACTACCATTTCTAGCATCTGATGATTCTGAAATTGGACTTACATAGTCATTTGATTCACAACAACTTTTGTTTACAATTTGTTCTGCTCTTTTGATGGTAATCTGCGGATACCCATTCAACTCGTAGCAATTCTCCCGTTTGTGACCAGGCAAGCGGCAATATTCACATTCAATTAAGGCTTTTACCCTATAAACCTCTGACCTTGTTTGTCCTTTGTTATTATTTCAAGCAAGAGGGCAGTGGAGACTTTCGAATTACATTCATACTAGTGAGAATTTCTGACTTTCATCTGATTCACAACTGAGTATGTTGTTTAGCACTGGGCAATGGATTCATAAGTAGAATTTGACTCCTCGCCATAGAATATGAGTCATTTAAGCCCATTAAAAATTGTAACAACTTCTGCTAATTAATGTGCTCATGAAATGCTTTTGCAGAAACACTATCTGGTGTAGGTAGCACTAGTGAATCCAATTCGTCCCAAAGAGACTTAAGTTTGTTGTAGTATACTACCACAGTGTGTTTGTTTCTTGCATGAGATTGGCAATTTCTCGGTGAAGACAAAGATTTGAGTCCATTAACCTTATGATATTGCTCTTCAAGTCTTGCCAAACTTGAGAAGTCAGTTGAGTAAACAATCCCATTAAAAATTTCCTTTGATACAGAGTTGATATCCACGCAAGCACCAATGAATTACATCGTTCCATTGTGGCACTAATTGGAGTGAACAAAGGTCCTTGTGTAGGTTCATTGACAAAACAGCTTATTTTTTGCACACAAGGAGATAATCATTGCCTTACTCCATATCCCGTAATTCCAGTACCTGTAGCTGCTCAGAGACTAGAACAGAACCAGGTGTATCTGAGGGTGAACATAAAGGGGAGAGTTGGAGTCAATCGAAGGAATACACATTTTCAGTCGAAGATGCGATATCAGATTAGCAAGATTGAAGCTTTAGAGAGCAAACTGAAAGTTAAAGAAGACGAGCTGAAGTTGGAAGAAGACGAGCTGAAGCTGAAGAACGCAAGAATTGGAACAGAGAAGACGAGTTGAAGCTAGAAGAAGATGAGCTGAATCTGCAGACGGTAAGAATTTCAAGCTCCTTTGAACTTAATCAAAGTGAAATTTGAGCTTAATTTCGAGTTTGATTGACCGATTTTGCATAAAATTTGTTACTCTAATACTATGTTGAATATGTTGAGAGCAATCGAAGAAGAAGCATTGTGGGAAAATATATTGTTCTTTATTCTGTATAATGCCTTTTACGAATCTTTAATACAATAACTGCTGCTAACTAACCAACTAAATGCACTTAACTAACTATGGTTAATAATAACACAGCTATACAACTTGCAGCTTAACATACAACTATGCTTAACTGCTTAATATACAACTTACTGCTTAACAAAGACATTGACATGGTCAAACATGTATGTGTGAGGACAAAGAGAATATGAAGAGGACAAAGAGAATATGACAAGAGAAGCGAAAAATGATAAATTTTCTGATGTGAAGAAAGTAAGAATTTACCCTCAACATTAAGGACCCCCGATCATATATTGCTTTGCATAAAAACCAACAAAAATTACTGGTTCAAGCAAAGAGTGAACAATGGATTCAAGACTACTTTCTTCTCTTATTCTCATGCATCATTTGCTCTCTCCATAGCTCATAAAGACTTCAGCTACAAATTATGTTCAAATAGTAGTGGTACTTATACAAGTAATAGTCTCTATCAAACAACTTAATAGCACCCTCTCTCCATCACCTCAAACACCATAAATTATCGGTTCTATCATGAGTCTTTTGGCCAAGAACCTGACCAAGTAAATTCGATTGCTGTTGTAGAAGAGATCTTACAGTGGATGTCTGTCAACGTTGCGTCAGAAACGCTACTTAAAGATCCACAGGTCTGTCCCAACCAAAAGTAAGCAATGGATGGTATGATATATGCATGCTACGATACTCCAACAAATCTATCAATGTGTGCTTGACTCAACCTACGTTTGCGACCACAATGTAAGAAATGTTTTGGGCGATGTGAAAGAGTTCAACTAGGCACTACAAAATTTGCAAGGAGCCTAAGAAGCACGACTGCTTCTCGGGATTCTCGTCTAAGTTTGCCACTGGCAATACAATAGCAAGTTTAGATAATTAGGACTGTGCAGTGTACTCCTGATTTGACGAGCTGCAGTGCTTGATTGCTTAGATGAAGCTATTAGAGAATTCCAGGATGTTGTGGAGGGAAGATATGAGGGAGAGTGTATAAACCCAGCTGCTTTTGTGGTTTGAGATTGAGCGGTTCTTTGATCCAACTAATAATTCATTACCGCCGGTATCTAACCAAACCAAGGTAGATTTCCATTTAGGACATCCTTTTCGATTTTGTATATGTTCTAATCCACAGACGAGAATTCTGTTTTTCCATTTCTTCTGAAATGAAAAGCTATCACCAATTTTTATAGGAAATGGTGGTAACACAGCTAGGACTGTCATTAGCATCATTGTCACGTAGTTAGTGCTGAGAATACTTATCATCTGCATCTGTATCTTTCTACGAAAGAGGAAGCCAAGGAAAAAGTTGAAAGTAAGTGACGTTTGGAGGCGATGATAACATTCAATTAAACCTTCCCCTCAGTATATTTAACTTTGTACAAAGTGTATGCTGATATTTTGTGATGATCACTCCTTAATTTACCTTAAAGAAGAATCTTATGTTTTGTAGAAGTTATAGCGAGTCATGAAAAAAAATGCATGTTTTGTTAATACAATCACTCTTCGATATCCTTTTTGCTAATTGATGTTTAAATAGCGCAGTTACTTCATTTGCATTTAAGCTGACTATAGTCCTTGCAGGTGAAGCTGTGGATGAAATAAGTAGAGTACTGGAAGCCTTGCAATTTCAATTCAATATCACCAGAGCAGCAACAGATGACTTTTCTGATGTAAATAAGCTTGGAGAAGGAGGATTTGGTTCTGTTTACAAGGTAGTAATAAAGCAAATTATTTACCTGTCTCAGCATATTAAATCAAGAAGTTCAAATTTTAATAGTGCATTCCGATAATTTCAGGGTAAGCTTTCCACTGGACAAGAAATAGCTGTGAAAAGGCGGTCTATGGGTTCAGGACAAGGAGATTTAGAATTTAAGAATGAGGTCTTGTTAGTCGCAAAGCTTCAACACCGAAATTTAGTTAGGCTTCTAGGTTACTCCTCGGAGGGAAAAGAAAGACTTTTCATCTATGAGTTTGTGCCCAATGCTAGCCTGGATCACTTCATTTTTTATATGTATGATCAGTTATTGTAGTTATAATCATTCAATTTAGTTAGTGTACATTAATTATAAGTGAACACTAAACATCTCAGGAGTCAGTGGTTATCTAGATACAAGTCTATTCAATTAATTTGGTTGCAATCAAGGGAAAAACAACTAATTTTTTTTTTTTTTTTTTTAAGTATGTTAGAATCATTCTATGTGAACATGCAGATCATATGAAGCGTCCACAATTACATTGGGAAACACGTTATAAAACTATTGGAGGTATTGCTCGAGGACTTCTTTACCTCCATGAAGACTCTCGCCTTCTAATTATTCATCATGATCTAAAAGCCAGTAATGTTCTGTTGGATGCTGAGATGAACCCTAAAATTGCAGATTTTGGCATGGCTAGGTTGTTTGAACAAGATGAAACTCAAGCCAAAACAAGTAGAATTGTCGGAACCTAGTAAGTGCCTCAGATTTAGGGATGATAACTCTAAAGCTTTAAGTCAAAGAAAAAATCATACCTAACCATTGAAATCTAAATGACTATTGGTGTTATTATTTATGCAATGGCTACATGGCTCCATAGTATATAATGCACGGACAATTTTCAGTTAAGTCAAATGTTTTTAGTTTTGGAGTACTAATTCTTGAGATTGTCAGTGGTCAAAGAAATAACAGTTTCCATAAAGGAGAGAATGTGGAAGACCTTCTAAGCTTTGTGAGTAAAAAGAAATTCAATTTTCTGGAACTATAAACATGATTGGATAGGGCAAAAGTAATTCTTTCTCCATGTATGCCTAAAATTATTATTATTATTATTATTATTTTGCAGACATAGACAAATTGGAGGGAAGGAACAACAAATATCATAGATTCCAGTTTGAGCACTGGTTCAAGGAGTGAAATAATAAGATGCATTCACATTGGGTTACTATGTGTTCAAGAAAACGTAGCCAACAGACCAACAATGGCTTCAGTTGTACTAATGCTTAATAGCCACTCCCATACTCTTCTAGTACCTTCACAACCGGCATTCTATATGCACAGAACCATATCAAACACATCATCAGGAATTAAAGAAAAAACTCAACCCTAGAGTGAAAGTCTTTCAATGGCAGTAAATGAGGCCTCCACCACCGAACTACATCCTCGATAACCTTCACAACTCATGCTTCATTTATGAACATGTCTAAAGTAATTTTTTCCTTTTAGAAATTGGATCAGTTCATTTTGAGGTATCGATAATGTATTATTGTTAATATTCATTGTTTGGGTCACGTAGGGACTCGGGATCTCGAAAGGAGGTTGATAAATTTTGAAAACAAAACTAGAAACTGTAATTTGAATAAATCCTTAATACATTTTATACGAAAATAATTTTTACTTTTGAAAACATGATTGCACTATTGGATGCTATGGTGATTTATATAATGCTCACTCACATGGTGTTTATATCAAATACTAAAACCATACTGATACTGAAAACATGCCAATGTTGATACCATGCCACACCAGTACCCCAAGACTTAAGTCATACCTCTCATATATAAGTCCCTAATACAGTGAAACAACTTGGCCAACCAAGTCTACCCTTTGGATGGCATATCCTCATCCCACCCAAGTCTACCTTTTGGGTGGGTGTCATAATATGATATCACATGAAGTCCCGCCCAAGTCTACCCTCTAGGCATCCAAATATCATCCATACCACTACTGAATCCATACCACACTATACCCCCTCATAAAGGTCCCTAATACAGACAAACAACTAGATACTCACCTAGGCCAATTCCCATCTAGTGAAACCATCTCAAGCCAATACTCGCCTGATAATCAATCTCAGGCTAATACCTGCTTGAAAGTCAGTCCCACCTAGGCCAATACTCGCCTAGTGTAAACATAATCCCACCCAAACCAATTCCCACTGGGTGTAATCCCGCTTGGAGCTCGTCAGGCGTTCGCCTTGTCTTGGTAGGATATCGGAATCATTTGGTAGAACAGACTATCTCAATGCGTGTATAAGGATAAATAAAATTCTAGCCAATTGTTGGAGGGGGGACGGGTACTATAGAAGTGTGGTCTCAATTTGAAAGATAAATTATGCTTACACATTAATGCCTTGAGTTTTATACCTAATACATAATTTTAGATTCACATATTAAAATTTATTATTATTAAAATGTAAATGTGTAATGACTGCTTCATACTAGGATACTCATAGAAATATATCAAGTAGAATATATTTATATTAGTAAAAGTAAATGGGCCCAAAATTTTCTTTTATTACATATAAACATTCTTTATACAAAATAAACTATCATTTACAAAATGTCATTAACACAGTGAACGATGTAGCTATTGCTCCTCGCTTGCCGACGCCCATCCAACCGCGTTCTCACCTAGATCCTTCAATCACAAAGAAAAACAACGGGGTGAGCACAAAATAATGCTCAGTAAGTAAATCCTCTACTCGATTGTCCCCGTAACTCTTTCTCTTAATTCTTTCCTTACACTTTTTCTCATCTCATTTATTTTCTCTTTCACACAGCTTTCTTAGTTAACTTCTGCTATTGTCACGGCCTCATCTTACCGGAGGCACGGCCGGGTGGAGTTCACACAGCACCAACCCACTCTTCATGACTTTCGGGTGGAAATCACATAGCACCAACCCGTTTTTCGTAACTATTGGGTGGAGATCACAAAGCACCAACCCATTTTTCATCACTATCGGGTGGAGATCACAAAGCACTAACCCCTTTTTCATATTTTCTCATTCTCCCTACTTTAGTTCATACACATAGTTCTCTACTCTTTCTCAAGCCAATTCTCAATGCACAATGAATCTTCTCCACTAATGCACTCATGAAATGTCAACATGCAATGTTGCAAGAATTAAGGTTACTACTCATGATTCTCTTAGTCATTTCATCAAACAACTAGTGTGCATACATAAACTCTACTTTATCTATGGTTCTATCCCTCTCTTGAACCATCCAAAATGGGAGGAAACTCCCTCCCAAGGTTATAATCCATGTCACAACATAACACTTCCAAAAAGATTTCTCAATCTCTTTCAATTTCATCTCAAACTACATTCCCATCACACATCACACTTCTCATAATTGAAGTGTATTCAACAACCACAAAGCAATTATTCATCTCCATCTCAATTCTCAATAACATATCATCTAACATGCATACACAATTTCTACTAAATCTCTACTCAAAAGAGTTCTCAAATAGCATCTTGGATTGAGATTTACTTACCTTGTAATGGAGAGATCTCACTAGCACTTTCCTTTCCTTTAAAATGCTTGTCTCTTCCCTAACCCCTTAAACAATAACACCACAAGAGTTTACTATACAAATATATGCAAAACTTCACATCTAAAGCAAGAATCCTTACCTTAGGATGTCTTAGATTAATTATCTACCAAGATCCAACTAAAAACCCTCAAAAATCCTTAAAAGCTTGAAGGAAAAGTTAAGAGGAAATGGAGAATGAAAGAGGCGGTGGAAGATGAAGAATGAAGGGTTTACTAAGCTTAACCCATTTTTAGCTCAAATTATCTTCATTCATTCCCATATTGCCCTTGCTCTTTCTTGAAAACTCCATCCTTATCCTTTGATTCATTACAAACACACCTCCATTCTAACTTATTCTCCATAAAATTTCCTTATAATTCACTCCCCATTTTTCCTACTAATTAGGGGTAGAATGGTCATTTTACCCCTATGGAGAATTCTCTAGAAACCTGACTAAACTTTTTAGCTGACCCGTCGCCGCGGCAAAAAATTACAAAGCCGACACCGCCATTACAAAGCTAACGTTGTCGCGGCGAAGACTATTCTTCGCCCCGGCGAAGACCGAAATTCCAAACTTCACCAAAACTCAACCAAAATCAGGGCAAACACTCAACCAAACCAATTAAGGGCCAACCAACTGAAAATAACAGCATACAAGCTCAAATGAGAACAAAGCAATAAACATTCAACATAATTTACTACGTACCTCAAGTGGGGTGTTACAAAATGTATATTGAAAATCTCATTGGGAGATATAACAATATACGATAATTAAACTTAATTGATACAATTTTCTTGATTGGTAATCAAATGTACTGTTGTTAGACATGTTCGTTATCATTGGATATACTAAACACACCCAATCAAGTACATCAATTAACCTCAGTTATGTTCATAATTATAGGATTAACTAATCTACCTTTGGACGATCCTTAATTATCCTATAATTTATGAATTCCAAATTACTCATGTTTGATATATCATGTCATCTCACTAAAGCATCTAATGATAATGAGTAATTGAATCTAACAAATTTGGCCACTTTGGTGACTAATAAATTATACATAATATAATTATCAAACTTAAATAATAACTATAATTTTATCCTAAGTGAACAATCTAGCTTTCCTTAAAGAAAATTATACTTTAGAAACTTGTACACATCCTTCACGCACCCACACACGCCAAACACCCGCCTTCACATGCCCACACACACCATCATGCACTGCCACACTCTCTCACATGCCATCACGCACTACCACGTGCCTCCACGCACCTCCACTCACCAGTTAGCCCATTTTGACCCTTAGAACAATTTAGTTAATGGTCTGAACCGATTTGACCCGTTCATAGGTTTGAACCGTTGACTGGACCAATTCACTTTTTCGGACTGTAACTGGGTTGGGTTGCCCCATTTGGCCAAATCGGGTTGACCTGATTATACTAAACGGGTTGGGCTTCTTTATGGGTTATTCTTAATGGGTTTGAATTGGGCTCACTTAATAAATAAGGCTTGGGTTCTTTTATTTGGGTTTTTATAAACTAAAAATAAGCTTTAAAAAATGGGTTAGGTCATCTAAAGAAATAGTGTTATTATTTGGATCAATATTTGACTCGAATTTCTGGAAATTTTATTGAAACATGCGTTTGGAAAATCACATTTCAGCATAAGAAAAATTCAATTCTAGCCAACTTTCCAGTGACTTAAGAGGTATTCTTGAATCTATTTTAACCACAACCTTCCTATTTGTCAATTTCCAAACCCAATCTAATTTTTTTTATACCATAAGAACCTTGATATATAAAAATCAACTTAATGGAAAATACATCAGTTTCTAAACCTGAATTCGCTGTGATACCACATGTAAAATTTAATTGCAATTTCATCAATGGCAAAGAATCAATAATATAATCATACTCAAACTTGATGAATTTTCACTATTTATGAAAGAAGTAATACATACTTAGTTCCATGAGTAATTTCTTGATGAACTATGAAAGAAGATAGTGTATCTCTCTCCTTTTCCTTTTCTGTCAATTGCTTATTTCATTTGATGGAAAAAGAAAACTCACATTAGGAATAGAGAGAAGACCCATTTTTATATAGTAGACTGCCAAACTGTAGTTGTTTTATTAACTACAGTAACCTCTTCGTCAAAGGTAAATGACCAATATGCCCCTTAGCCAATTTAATTATTTCAAAACAACCATGGACCACCTTGTGTGAATTAAAATATTTATGTTGAATATTTTGTCAAATTATGTTACTGTGTATGCACAGGTGTTGTGTGCTTGCACAATCTTGTCAAACTTATGCATTTTTGCATTGTATGGTTTTTGTGTGTGCACCAACATTGTGTGTGTGCACAACTATGTCAAACTTATGTCTTTTTCATTTCATGTGTGTGCACAGATGATGTGTGCTTGCACACTTACATCAGACATATGCATGTTAGAAATTAATTCGCATTTTATCATGATTGTGTGCACACTTCTTTACTGCACTAACAACTACTGTTTGAATCACTTTACATATGTGACAAATTTTCCTAATCTGATTTTTTATTGTGAGGACCACTTACAAGTGTCTTAAAATCCTCAAGTGGTCCAGGGAATTAGCTTTTTCCCATTTTGGTTGCAGTCCAAAAAGTTTGGTGGAATCTTTTCCCCTTTTGGACCAACTAATGTCAGCCTTAATTTGTCTGCTGACTTGACAAGAATTGTTGAGCAAGAAATTTGTCTATATCATCTTCATTTTTGCGCATTTTTTGAGCTAACTTGAATATTCAT